GAGATACTACCTTACGGGAAACATGAATTTTAAGTGTTCATCTCCATAGTGTTTTACATGCTAGACTTCTCTTACAAAATAGTATCTTTTGCTGAAAAACTACAAGTGATACCGATCTGCTTAGTCTTGAGTGAAGCCATGTTTGCAGCACTGCTGAGCCTGAAGCCAGAGCTAAACAGTCAGCCTACCGCAACTGCCAATTTACGGCTTGTGGATTCTTTTTTTAGCCTAGGGTTTGCCCAGTGGCCTGGTCTAGCTAGCGTATGCTGTTGTCGCCTCAAGGTTTCTCAGTAACATAACGAGAATTAGGATGGTTGTATATGATTAGGTTCCGTAATTTTAGTGGACTTGGTGGAGGGCAGATGAGGAGCTTTCATCCCTTCTGTAACTGCTGTTACCGTTAAAGTTTGCCCCCTCATTTGGGGTGAATGCCAGCAGCAGCTGTGTCTCTTCCTGAAAGTCCGTAGGTGTGGGTGGCAGCCCGCTTTGCTTAGCAACATCAAGCTTTGCAGGGGGGGGTCTTCTTTGGTCTGTTGGTCCTGGCAACTGAAACCTAGTGCAGGGCTTCTGCTTTCCTCAAAAGCAACTTAGAGAATCATGTTTGTAACATGAATTACTGATTGGGTGCCTGCCAGCACAGAGTTGGTCCTCCTTATCTGCTTGCTCCTGTTCTTGTCTTCTGGGAGGTTTGGAAGTGCCTCAAGTTTCTACGCTGTGAAGCACTGTACTTTGGCCACATATGTAAAACACATTTTTTATTCTCTTGACGAATGATCCTAGTGTTTCTGCCTAGATCAGAACCTTCTAAAGCTTTACTGATACCGTGTCACAGGTGTGCGAGTCCTGCTCATGCATACAGGAATAATGTTTGCAAAGCTACTTAGTCACTAAGTAATGAAACATTATCGTTAAGTGACTGCTCATTATTAAGTAGGATTATTCAGTAGCAATGTGCAGCTGATAAAGAACAAAGTGGGTATGGAGAGGAGAAAGGAGAAGAGACCTTTGGGAGATTCTGGCAAGATTGATTCTGGTGCTGGGTCACAGACAAAGCAACAAAAGGTTCCTTTTGATATTATCTAGGGGTTATTTTCTGTTGCTTAAATAAAAATCAGGCCATAATCCATCTAAATTAGAGCAAGAGTCTACAGCTGATATGATACTTGCTACTTTGGCTCTTTTAGGGACAGTCTAACATTATTTTGTGAGAGACTCAAAGCAGTCAAGAAAACAGGAAGCTGCAGTATTGTGTGAAATTTAAAAGTAACTCAAATTTAAGCTATTTCATAGTTCTAAGACTGTAAAAATAAGCCACATATTCCTATAAAAATAAACCATCTTATAGTTGCTATAAAATACTTCTAATGCACTAATTTCTTGTTATGAGGGGCTTCAGTCTTTATATTGTGCCAGTAGAGTTGTATATAGCCCAGCCAGTATGGTGCTTAACTTTAGAGAAATAGTAGCAATGCCTCTTTTGAAAGACATTTTAGAAACACTTCAATTTGAAGACATAGAAGAGGGTATTGGTGGCGGGGAGGGCATTTGTTTGCTTGCTTGTTTTTTTGTTTTTGCCCTCAAGTTAATTGCTGAAGAAGGTAGTTCATGAAGTTGGAATACAGCTTGGCATTCTGCCTCCTGTTGATCTGATCTAATCAGCCAGTAATTTCTTGTGATTTTTCCACAATGATCACTGGGGAGAATTCCTTCCAGTCTTTATTGAAATACTCCATGCTTTAGAGTTTCTAAAACTGCAGCTCAGGAACTGAATGCAGTCAGTATTCCTCTTATAGCTTCCTCTTTTCAGGAGAAGAACTAAATTTCCACTGGCTAAGCTTCAGAGAATGTCCCTAGAGGAGCAGCATGACAGGTCTGTGCATCTGTATTTCCTTTCGGACTTGTGTGTCCTACCAAGGAGTGTGGTCAGTGGGAATGCAGAGTGGGACACATAGGCTGGTGTCTGGTACTTGAAGTACTTGCCAACTTGCAAACTTGCCAACTGATTCTGTTTCTTCCTTTTTACACAAAGCCTTTATCTGCAACTTCTTCATACAACAAGTTTGTAACTTGTTCCTCTCTTCGAGCCAAATGCTGATACTCCCCACAGCGTTGTTCGGTAATCACAAGCAACTCCTTCTCCCGCCCTCCCACCCCAGCCTTCCAGGTTCCAAAGAATGTTCCTGACTGTGTGGAGTGCCTTATTATTCTTTGCTCACCTGGACCTAAGGTTCACCCCAAATTTGACATTTTTTGATTCATCACAGGAGCTCATGTGGCTGTATGTTCTGGGAAGTGAACAGAAGTAGCTTTGTTTGGAGACTTTTTGCTAGTAGAAAAATCTTACTTTCTATGCTGGCAGAAGAAGAGAACATCACGTACCTAAATTATTAGCGTATTGACTACTGAAGTTATAACATCAACACTGGTACTCATAAGGGAGGCAGAAAGCACTGTCTAGCATTTCAGAAACATCAGAGGGAAAGTAGCGTTTCTTATTGGTGAAGGAGTCCATGTACATGATCTTTGGCAGCCTTGTGTTAATGTGTTCATCTTTATGAGCTGCCTTTTCTCATGAGTTGTTCATCGCTTCTCTTCACACACATATTAAGAGGCACACTTGTGAAGGCTTTGATGCTAAGGTAATAAGAAAAGATAGACAAGCTTTTTAATGAGACTAGTGCAGGAATTATAGAGGAAATTAAATGAAGGATGTAGCTAAATTGTTAAATAGCTACGATTTTTTGTTGTTGTTCCAGGAACATTTTCAAGTAACATTAAAAGTCTATTTAACATGCAGTTAAAATAAAGATAGATTTTTGTTAAGTTCCTATTAACAATAAGGTCAAATATAATATTGTTAACATTAACATCAAGAAATTTCTCCGTTGAGGATGGTCTAAAAATTTCTTCTACTTAAAAGGCAGCATCATTGAAGATAAGGTTAAAGGTTGAAGATAGACAAGCTGAGGGGGAAAAAGCCCTGAACCTAAGATCTGCTACTTATTTATTTATTTAAAGTGTGTCTGCAGTGCAGTTCAAGTCAACTGACAAAAAGTCAAAGCTGTCTGTGAGCTGGCTACCAGAGAGAGGCTTTCTTGTAGGCCAGTTTTTGCAAACAGTCTGACTTCAGAATTAGTGGGTGGCAAAATGTAATATACAGCATACAGTGGACACTGAATTTGCAAACTGTTCAAGGCTAATTATTTCCAAGTCCTATAAAAAGAATGTCAGTGAAAATAACACTAATTGAATAGTAAATGAAATAGTAACAGTAACCTCAGGGAATATAATCATGCCACGTACTTCTTGAGCATGCCCTATGTAATTTAACAGTGCCTTAGTCTGTGCTTACTGACATTGCTATGCCATAAAAATGTGTGAGGGGTTTGTGTGGAATAAAGATTGCGCTTCTGAATGCAAAATTATCTTGGATAAGATAAATAGATAAATCATCTTATCTATGAAAGAAATTTCTTGAAAGAAGTTCTTTTCACAATGTACTCTGTGTTTAGGAAATTAATACTATCTTCTACGACAAATAGTTCTCCTCTTGTAAGCAGCATACCTGTAAAATATTATGTCAGTAAAATTACAGACAGGATTTGCCTGTATTGAATTTTTCTGTATGTTCATGGCAAACAAGTCCATACTTGTCCACTTCACTTCTGCTGCATATGTTGTCCCAAGGCTATTCATTTTTTCTTCACCCTGTGAGGCATAACTTGTGTTTATTTTTGCTTGTGCTATGCATGCTACTGGAATGCTACAAATCTGTGCTGGAAGGGTAGGTGGTTGTGTTGCTCTGCCTGCACAGCCCCCTGAAATGAGTTGTCTGCTTCTCCCTCTGAAGAGACGCGTTTCACCTGTGCACTAAGGCAACCTGCTGCTGATGGCTCTGAGAGGCCAGGACAGGTGTCTCCAGTACAAGGAGATGTGCTGCCAGGGTAATATTAAGATCAGCTTATCTCACAAATTCTTGTAGGAAAGCAAGTGAAATATTTTCTTTTTTTTATGTAACTTGTAAATCTTTCTGAGTATTTGTTATTCCAATTAATAAATTATGAGTCTATTTTAAAGCATGAAATAGAAAAATAGCTTTCTACAATTCTGTACAGCTAGTAGGTAGCAAGAGGGAATTAATAAATTTTAACTAGATGCTGCTCATTTCTTTTCTCAGTTCACATACATACAACTTACATGAAAATAAATTGTTGCTTTGAATTCAGACTTTTTGCCAGTTTGTCCTCATCTCACAAACTGCCAATTTTGTGGTGAGAACTTAATTCAAATTATTTGGATGTTGCTAGTCCTTAAATATTCTTCAGAGTGCCTTATCTTTCACAGCCACTGCCTGTCTGTGAAAAAATTAGTGGCACAATTCCTGAAAGAGAGCTCTTTGATTTGCTTTCTTGATAAACTGCAGCAGCACACGCTGGAAGATGCAGTACAAGTGAATAAAAACGTAGGAAATAGCTAATAGCTGCTTAAACTAAACTCATCTGCTCCCAGTTACCTGTATGAAGTCTGCATCAAATGAGGATGTCAGATCACTAATTTAATCTGAAAATTTCCCACTCAGAAATTCGATTACTGAAGTTTAATCTTGAAATTGGAATATCTTTTAAATTATTGGAAGTTTCAAAATTGGATGAATAAGATTGATTTGAGAAGTCTTTTCTTGTCCTTTACAGTTCACATTTCCTGTAAATCTTTATACATAGAGCCTATCATATTGTCCCCTTCTTGTATCATTCTATTTCATTGTTGAAATAAAATCTCTAATTAAAAAAAAAAATAAAAGACAAAACAAAACTTATTTTCCAAGACTTGGAAGCAAATCAATAGCTTTATCTATCAAGTTTTTTGATTTATTTGCATAGATATGCCTGCTTTCTATTTTTCTATCTAAAATGTTTTTTAAAAAATGGGAACATGTGTTTGCATAGATATCTAAGTTAAAAATTCTTTATTTTAATTTACAGGTGTTACAATTTCAAGAAATTCTGTGGCCTAGCCCATATTAAAGAACATTATTCACAGAAACTTTTTACTGTGGTAAACTTCTAAAACTAGCATGGCTTTGAAAAAAATACATAAACTATTCAAGAAATTGTTTTTTCACTGGAAAATTTGGAAATTTAGCATTATTATTCTTGTCTTTCTGGTATTTTTGCTTTTATTACAAAGAGAAGTTGGCATTGAGGATTCTAAAGATGAAGCAGGAATTGAGCTGGTTGTAGGAAAGAAAAGTCACGTATTAGGTCTCATGTTAAATGCAATGAACAACATCAAGGGTGCAAAACCCAAAATGCAGATAAAAGCACCTATAAGGCAAACTAAGGTTCCTGGAGAAAGGCGCTGCTTGCCTGGATACTATACAGCAGTGGAACTAAAACCCTTTCTGGATCGACCCCTTCAGGATCCTAATGCTCCCGGAGCTTCTGGTAAACCTTTTAAAAGCGTCAATTTAAGTTCAGAAGAGCAGAAAGAAAAAGAACGTGGAGAAGAAAAACACTGTTTTAATGCATTTGCAAGTGACAGAATTTCTCTGCACCGAGATCTTGGACCAGACACTCGACCTCCAGAGTATGTTGAAATCTGTATGTGCCAGGAGTTGAAAAATTTGTCAGAACTGTAAAATATGCAAAGTGATTGGATTCAGCATTAGGTGATAGTTTGGAAAGGAAGTCTTTTAACTATGCATTATATACTGATGCACAGTGCCAATGCCCAAAACGTTCAGAAAGGCTCACTTATTTCATGGTTGTTGAGTTCAAAGCTGCCATATTCAAATAAACTTTTTTGGCTTGGCTTGTAAACTACATTTTCTCAGTGACTTTCTGAGGCCCTGTAAAGTTTTAATTGGAGAAATTAAATTTTCTTAATGAAACCTCTAGGACTTGGCAGGTGGCATTGTATTTGATTTTGGTCAAATTCTGTTGGCTTCAGAGCATTAGCTGTAAAGTTTTGCTAGAAATTTTAGAGGCTGATGTCACTTAATCTCCATTATTTAGACTTTGCATGAGAAAGAGAAGGTTTTTGTAAGAATTTGAGTCAAAACTTTGTGTACATTTTGTAACATCTAATACTTTTTAATCTGTAGATGTATTGAACAAAAGTTTAAGCGTTGCCCACCATTGCCAACCACAAGTATTATAATAGTTTTTCATAATGAAGCGTGGTCCACTTTGCTCAGAACTGTTCACAGTGTGATGTATACAGCTCCTGCCATACTGCTGAAGGAGATTATTTTGGTGGATGATGCTAGTGTTGATGGTAAGAAAGAGTCTTTCTCTTTTGCTGTGGAATGCGGTCGGATATGTAATTTGTTTAATGCATGTGAAGTTTGTATACGGAACTCATTACACAAGAGTATCTTTTTAGTACTACTGAGGTGTGTAATAGTATTCGAAGTGCTATTGTTCTTTTCTTTTCATACAATATAAAAATACCCAGCCCCTCATCTTGTCTTTTTAAGATTGGTCAAATATAAAATTCTTGCCTGCTAACAGAGTTTTAAACCCCATTTCTGCTGATTCTAATTACAACCTTTTATTTATTTATTTAAGTTTTATGGTGATACTTAAACTTCATAACTGGTAGTGTCACAAGCAACACTTAATGTGTGTTTAAAACTCATAGCAGTTAATGGAACCAAGTATCCAAGGGTAAATCGATCAGTGCTTATAGTAGTTTTTTAGGATTTTATCATATTGATTACTTTCATGTAAACAAATTTTCTTACTATGATAGGAAACATCTTCCCTAGAATGTGAAAATAATTTTTATATTAAATATAAATCTTTAGTTGAGTATCTTTAATACTCCACCTGTGGCGAAAAATAATTGAGTAGACACTGAGAGTGATCACAAATGCAAGTTCAGAAAACTTTGAGCTTAATATCAGATGAATGCATCTATGTCTACATGTTTATTACTGTACTCACACTTATTTTAAAATCTGGTTTTAATATATTGTCACACAGATGTGAGTGTGTACAGAAGTATAATTAAAAACTCAGGGGCAGAAGTTCGTAGAAGGATGTTTGAAGTGGAATGTTTGAATTCTGAACATCTTAAAACTTTTGTGTAGTTTCTGAAACTAGTGCATGTTACAGCCTTTGAAAATTGTTCAAAATTGGTTCTCATTAAGAAAAACAGTAGCAGGTGCTGCAGATAACTTGAGTAAGTAGATAAACAGTCTGTTGGCCATGAACATGAGTTTTGAGTATTTTACTGTTGATGTTCCAGAACAGATGTCCTAGCAAATGACCTTTGATAGAATATTTTTAGTACTCTATCTCCCCACAAACAAACAATAATCAGTCCCTAAAATAATATTTGGCTGTTAGGAATTGTTTACTGCTTTGATGTAGACGTATTAGCTTGTACTATTTAGAGTGAACTTCTTTTTTTTACCTTATTGGTTTGATAAAGTGAAAGTAAAAGTTTAGGTAATGGCATATATATATACTAAATATTCTAAAATTGATTTTCTTTTTTAGAATACTTGCATGATAAACTAGAGAAATACATAAAGCAATTTCAAATAGTTAAAGTAGTCCGTCAGAAGGAAAGAAAAGGTCTAATCACTGCACGGTTATTGGGAGCTTCAGTAGCGACAGGAGAGACTCTGACCTTTCTGGATGCTCACTGTAAGTTTAACTGCACCGTGTCTGGTTTATAGCATTGTTGGCTTTGATTTAGTACTGCTAATATTTATGAATATTAATCTTGTGTGATCTTGCCAACTTATGTTTTATACTATTTCATATATATTAGTATTGTTTTTTAAAGACATTGAGTAGTTACTCCCTGTGAGCATGTTTGCTGCTATATAGTGAAGTCAATGTTCAGTGCTTGCTGCAATTTTTTCTTTGTCCACAGGTGAATGCTTTTATGGATGGTTAGAGCCATTATTGGCAAGAATAGCTGAGAATCCTGTTGCTGTTGTAAGCCCTGATATTGCTTCTATAGATCTCAATACATTTGAATTTAGTAAACCATCTCCTTATGGATATAGCCATAACAGAGGAAATTTTGATTGGAGTTTGTCGTTTGGATGGGAGTCTCTTCCTAAACATGAAAATAAGAAAAGAAAAGATGAAACTTACCCAATTAGGTAACAGCTTGAAGACTCATTTAAATACTTGAGCTTTTATCACTTTGGTTTTAAACAGCAGTTTTTTAAATGAAGTAATGAAGTAGTTCTTTAGATGGGTATGATCAGAAGTCTTAATGTCTGAGGTTTTTTTTTCTTTTTGTATAATAACTTCCTTAAGTAGGAGATAATAAATTTTAACGTTTTCATTAAAATATGCATAGCCTCCTTAAGAGTATGCCTTTTTTTTGTATATACAGTAGAAAATATGTACAATACTGTGATTTCAAATTTGAGAAATGAGCCTAGAAAATAAATCCTTTTTTGTTTGTTTTGTTTTTCCTTGGGGAGGAGAGGATTGTAAGTTATTCTTTGGAAAGATGGTACCACAAATTCTGACTCCGCATTCATCATTCCTTAAATGATGACCATAAACGTTCAGAACCCTGAAACACAGGACAGTTATGGTGGTACATTCAGTGATGTTTGTATGCACTTGGGCCTCAGAGTGGTTATTGGTCTAGAAGATGCTGTTTCTCCTGATGCTGTCTATTATTCCAGCAGCCATTTAATTGTTTGAGATATTAAATGTACTAGGAAAATGCATCAGTGCTGTAAAACAGTAGCAAGTTCATTGAAAGTTCCTAGAATAGTTATGCCAGAGATTTTAAACCTGTAGATAGCAGCCTTAAATGAAGTTTGAATCCTGATTTTTTTTTTTTTTTTCCCTCAGAACACCTACTTTTGCTGGAGGTCTCTTTTCAATATCAAAAGACTATTTTGAACAGATTGGAAGCTATGATGAAGAAATGGAAATATGGGGAGGCGAAAATATTGAAATGTCTTTCAGAGTAAGCTTAGCTGCTTAATTCACTGTGCTTCACTATATAAGATATTTGAGGGCAAATTGACCTCTGCTGAATCCTCTATCTATGACATAGGAAATGGGAAATGAATCACCAATCATATATAAAATGAACTAAATATTACTCAGTGAAGTGATATTTCTAAATTGTTTTTAGTCTCGATAGTCAATTTTGTAAGAAATTAACTTATGGCATTGCTAATATATACACTTTTTTTTTTTTTTTTTTTTTTGTGTACAGTAACATTGCTGATTTCTTTCCACCTCTTTAATTCTAACTGCAGCACACTTACACAAAAAATATTATTATTAGGTATGGCAATGTGGTGGACAGTTGGAGATCATGCCTTGCTCTGTTGTTGGCCATGTCTTTCGCAGCAAGAGTCCCCATACTTTCCCCAAAGGTACTCAAGTGATCACACGTAACCAAGTCCGCCTTGCAGAAGTCTGGATGGATGAATATAAAGAAATATTTTACCGAAGAAATACAGAGGCAGCAAAAATTGTGAAACAAGTAGGTGGTGGTGGTGGTATTAGAAATCAGGCTTGCTACGTTCAAAATTTTGGTGAGCAAAAGTTATTTATTGACAAAGTATGTAAGAACCATAGATATTTTAATGAAAAGGCAGGTACAGTTCCGTTTGCTTTATGCTGTATCCTCAAAGAACTAAAGTTCTTGAGTGCTAGTCATGACCTTTTGTTTTTCTATTGATAAGAGTTTTTCATATGTTCTCTAAAAATTTGGGTTCTTTATATTGAATGGTTATTGGAGCTATTAGAAGAATATTAAGCATAGTAAATGAAGGGTTTTTTGAGTAAGAAACATGCTGTCTTTTCTCATGCTGCTTAGTTTTTTGTCTTGAAAGCAACTTTTATTGTTCAACTGCAAAATTAAGCTTAGTCGAGGGTTGGTTTGTTTATTTCTGTATGTTCTGAAATGTAGTTATTCTGCCAGCTGGAACCTTATGCTTCACTTTTTGAGAAGCCATTTTTTCTCCCTTCATGTGTTAAAGTTTTGAAAAAGTAATATGGCTAACAAAATTGGCTTTCTTAAGAATGCTTAATAGCTAAAGATAAGTGCATGTTGTCTGGGAGATTTTGCATTATACGGACTATTATGCTGGTTATTTTATTAATGCAATTCATTATTTCAGTTTATTGTATTTTATTGAGATGGGATGTATTCATCTAGCTTTATAGCTCTGGTCAATGTGATCTTTACTTGTGTGTAGTTTTTCTTCTTACAGTGCTGTGTTAAATCCCTCTTGGGACTGAGGATGCTTGTATTGCTTCCACATGGCAAAGTACATTTCCTGCATATGCTTTGAAATGTTGATTGCAGGAGGTTAGTGGTCTTATGATACGGGAAAGGAAAAGCAGCATTCATGGTAGTAGTTTAGTGTTAAAAAAAAAAATCACCAAATGAAGCCTAAAATCTTAAAAATACTATGCAGAATATCAGTACAGCATTTCATAGTTTTATTCCTACAACATGGGTATTAGTAACCTGAACATAGCTCTCTTCCATCTATCTTTCCTTTCTTACTTTTATCAGAAGACATTTGGAGACATCTCAAAAAGACTTAATTTAAGGCAACGTCTGCGCTGTAAAAATTTTACATGGTATCTAAATAATGTTTATCCAGAAGCATATGTGCCAGACCTGAATCCTTTGCTTTTTGGATTTGTAAGTTGTTATCTTTTTTTCCTAATTTTACATATTTTTGTAACATCTAAAAATTCTGAAAGTTTGTGAGTCTTTTGTTCTACTTTAGTTATCATTAGCATTACAATAGTGCTTATTTTAGCTCTACACAAAAGATTTCTTCTGCATACCTTATTATTTAAATATTTTAACACTCTGTCAATGCTGATAGGAAGTTTTAGCAAGCCTGTGTCCTAACTGACAGCAACAACTCAGCCTGCTCAGATGAGCAATTTTCAGCTCATCACTAACAGTGAAATAATGAAACCTGCTGTGAGAGACTTTCTGAATCATCAGAGTGAATTTATTTTTAAATAGTAAAAGATTTAAGGAATTTTTTGTTCATATAAATGAGGAAACCTGTGCTTTGACAGCTGTTTGCTTCCCTGAAGTAGATTTGTGGTGAGGAAAATGTGTGTTTAAAAAAAAATAAACTGTGCAGCTGTGTATACCACTGTATTTTCTCCACCGAATAACTTCTTAGGTATTGCAGTCCTAAAAATAACAAAATATTAAATAATTATTTCTTAATTTCGGGTAAATGGGAATGTTTACCATAACTAAGAAAAATGATTTAACAATTGTTAATTAATCTCAAAGAAAAGTATTTTTATATATAAGCAAGGCAATTTAATTGTCCTTGTGCCGCTTGAGTTTTTAATTTCATTTTTGCTGGTATTCTCTTTTCTTCAGTTAAAAAATATAGGTAGTCATACCTGTCTGGATGTTGGTGAAAACAACCATGGTGGTAAACCCCTGATTATGTATTCTTGTCATGGGCTTGGAGGAAATCAGGTAAAAGATACCTTATTTTTATGATTTATTCACCTGTAACTTAACCGTATTAAACCTTTGCACTTATTTAGAAAAACAGACTCATTTTTCCAGTGCATCTTTCCTTTTTTTTTTCTTTTTCTTTTTTGTTTTTCTTTTTGTTGGAAGTTAATTCTTATATATATTTTTTCAAGGAATCCTCTAACATTGTAAGTTCAGTATACAATTTCACATTTTATACTTCTGCTGGTGGGATATTAGAAGTATAATGGGATAGCTGTATGGTTATAGCATGCGAATGTATTTTATGTCTTGAAGTATTTTATGTCCTGAAATTTATGTTCTTTCAAAAGTATGTTATAGTCTCCTTTGGTATCTCTGCCTATGGTATGTTATATTGCAGTAATTACACCAGGAAACATCTAGTAATACTTAAGCTATAGAAATACCAACACAGATTTTGAGAGCATAGTTTTAAAGTTAAGTCTCAGTTTTGGACTTGGATCAACAGAATATGATTACTCTGAGAGAAGCATACAGAACCAGTTAGACAAAAACTCTGCATGACAAAACACACAAAATCCTCTATGATGCAATTGCAGTTCTTCACTTGATCTCCCTTTTCTGCTGTGTATAACCTTCTCACCTTGACCTTACTACTTTCTTGTAAGTGTTGTCATCTTGATTCTTCCTTTCCTCTTACTTCCTCCTATTGCTTCTTTCTCTGCCACCAGGACTCGCTCTGTCAAGGAAGATGTTGATGAGAATCCTGTCAGTGGGAGACCAAAAGGCCAGGCCTGAGCCACCTTCCCTATCACGATTGCAGCCTAGTAGTGTGAGGTCAAAATGGTCTACCCTGTATCAAGGCAAATGGACAGTATGACTGAATTTGTCCAAGAAGAGCTCTCTCTGATATATAGCTCTTAAAGGCAGCAACAATTTCTTTTACAGTATGACTTGCAATAGATGTCAGACAATGAATCCTTCAGGCACTGCTGTAATGCTAATAAAGCAAAATCTCCCACCCTGCCCAGAAACATATAATTCTAAAGCAACAGAAAAGTGTTTGAAAAACAAATCTTACTAACTGGAGGTCCTTGAAGTTCAATAAGGGTTTAAACACTTTAATTACAAAATGGTTGTAGAAGATACCATTTCATGTAAAAGTTTTGCTTCTAAAGGTCATCCAGTTAATGGTATTATAAAAAGTCAGATAACTGACTGAAGTCGATTGATGCTTTCCTAATTAATTTCTAGAGGAGCAGGAAAATTCTATGATTTAAAAACACTTACCCTGTTACACTGGTGTTTAATCTTACATGTAGCATTTTGCTTTAGATTTAGTTTGCAGATTAAAATTATGTAAGGTTTTTCAGATTGTCAGTCCTTGATACAGGAGCGCTGTCCTGAGATACTGTACTAACGTGTCTGTTTAACGCTTCTACTGCCATCTATTTTGAAGTTAATTTCCGATGTACTAAGACTGTTTTCAAATTTACTTTGGTTATTGCTATACAATAACAGTCTGAATCATTTTAAATGTCAGCCTTCAGAGAATTTCAATACAACTCGTGCTGCAGGTGTACCAGATTGATTACTTAACTTTTTTCATAGTAGTGTCTTGTTTTCGGATGTTTAGTTTTTTTCAGCAGTATAGGCTGACATTTTCCATGCTCCTTGTCTTCCCAAGCCATGTGCTTGAGTGAGTTGGGAACCTAGACTTGAACCTTATGCAGCAATCATTTGTCATTCTTCCCATTCATTCTTTGGAATGATATTCTAGAGCTGGGATCATATCCATCTCAGTGGCATCTCAATATCCAAACTAAGGTTCATTAAGCTGGCTTTCAACTCTTATTTTCAGGGTTAATAGAGATTTTGGAGATAAATAAGTGCAGATTAAGTATTTAGAGTAAATGATTAGGACTAAGAAACTAAGTGACTAAGCAGGTCACTCATTTCAGTAGCTGTTTCAGACAATGTTTCTGAACGGTGTTGGGCATAGGAACTGAGTTGTTCCTTAGTGCTATCTGCATTCATGCCGTGGCAGGGAGGATAGGGAAGTTGACCCTTTGGGCAGGTAGATGAAACCTGCTAGAAGTTACCTGAACCTGGAATTAAAAGTCAAAGGAAGGATTTGGCGGAAAAAAAGTGATATATGGAGCCAATGCATGATGTGACTGGAGCCTGCTGTTTAAAGAGGAGGAGGATGAGACCAGGCTAGAGAAGAGTAGGACAAGAGAGACAGAAGGACATCTCTGTTTGTAACTACTGGAATGCCTTTTTTTAAGACCGCAATTACAGCCTAGAATTCCTGAGTTTTAAAAGTAGTCTGCTGTCAGGAAATAACAGTAGAGCTCACTGGCAAAGTATGTGCTTATTTTTCTAGTGCCTAAGTCACACAGAGCTTGATGGCATCCTATTGTGAGCCTTATTGTTTAGTTCAAGCGGTAAAAGTTGGCAAATGGGAATCAGTTTTGTCCTGTGTGATAAAATTTGTTTTCAGTTACTCTATTGAAAATCAAAATCCCTCAACAAAAATTAAATAAGACTCTTAAAATACACCCACCCACCCACACACACACACACAAAACCACCACCACTCCTCCCTTTTGTCTCCTTTGTATTAGGCATGATTCCTGAAGAAGCAAGCAACAGTATCTTGCCTCATAGTGCCTTTGCACCAAGTGTGCATGCCAAATATTAGAGAAATGATTCCTTATTTTCAAGCTGTTGAATAATAACAGAAATCTATTTCTCTGTATATTGGGATTTCAGGGGATTAATATAGTTTGATATTCTTGTTTGTATTTATTTATTAACCTTTTAAAATTATTTAAATAGTATTTTGAATATTCTGCACAACAAGAGATTCGCCATAACATTCAGAAGGAGCTGTGTCTGCATGCTTCCAAAGGCCCAGTGCAGCTTCATGAATGTAGCTACAAAGGCCGGAAAACCTTTGCTCTCAGAGAAGAGCAATGGGAGCATCGAAAGGTAATGAGATGTTGCAATGAATGGGCATCTTTGTCAGCAGTCTTTAATATCAGTTAACTCTGGTTTCCAGTAAAAGAGGAAAAGAAACAAAACTCTAATCCCAAAAAGGATGTTCAGTTCTGGGAGAAGATGCAGGTAATTTCAGTTTTTCAGGTTATGAGGTTAAAACTTAATGATTTCACTATTGTAAATGTAACTGCACTAATGGCCTTGTTTTACTAATGTAGTCACTACAATTGATATCCTGTAGTGGCTGTCCATGCACTGTGTCTGGAAGTTGGACCAGATTTTTTGTATCATTTAAAGTATTTAATGTTTTTTCTTCCTATCAACACAAGTTCACACTTTGTGTATGACTAGATTTCTTTGGCCAGTCCTCTTCTGCTCTGTGTGCCCAAACTCTTCTTAATGACAGTAAACTTGGAAAAACAAAGGAAAAAAAAGAGGAAAGGTAAATAGCATGCTCCTTGGGTGCTTATTTGGTGTTTTTTTTCTTTTCTCACCCGTTGTAGGATCAGTCATTGTACAGTTCAGCACTACACATGTGCCTTACAGGAAATGGAGAGCATCCGAGTCTGACGTCATGTAACCCATCAGACCCCTTCCAGAAGTGGATCTTTGGCCGAAACAATTAAGATTTGCTATTCATAGACTAGGAGGCACATTTAAAAAAAAACAGACACATTCTAAGCTGTGACCATATATGTATACTGCATTTTTAAGTGATACAAAGTTTAAAATGTGTAAACGGTTTCTTTTTCCCCCTTATTTGGAGTTAGATATAAAACATGTCATCAAATCCCTTAGGAGACTGTTATACCAAAGAATGTTTTGTGGCCTCAAAGTTAAGAAAAATGTTTACAGCCTTTCTGTAATTCTGTTAACCCCTGGTTTGTGGGTGTCGTACTCCTCTCTTCTTTTGAGGACCAAATATACATTGTTTTTCCATGTTTGGTAGGGACTTCTAAGGGAAGCTAGGGTTTTTTTTTTATGTAGTGTTAGGAGGAATTCTTGTATTTGTCTGAAAACTAAGATATATATTATATATATATATATCAAATGCTCAGTTGCTTGCTTTAATCTTTTTCAGCATTTATTTTCCAAGGTGATCCTTCCTCATTTTTTTTGTAAACTTCTCTCACTTAGAAATAAAAGAAGTATTTGATTTTCATACTGAAACCAAATGGGCCACATTGTGCTCAGCTTCTATCAAGTCAGTGCTTTTGCTGTGGAAGAGTTCCTTCTCCCTGAAATATATTATTTATATATGATTCTTTTAATGGAAATCTGCTCATCCTCATCTCTGTCTCCTCCTATTCGTCAAAAACTTCTTGTATAGCTTTTCTTATACGTTTTTGGGTTTTGAATTTGATGACAGATAAATTGTAGCAGATTTCCTGAGTAGCTTAACATTAACATATTTTTTAAATATTTTGTTCATAGTTGCTTTTAACTTACACATATCTACTAGCACCACTTTTCTTTTTGTGGGCTGTAGTGATTTGTGCAATGTTTACTTAAGGGGTTCCTAACTTGTAAGTAATTTTTCATGAAAATATGACTTTTTCATTATTGTTTTTCCTTTTCCAAAGGGCAACTTATCAGTCAAAGTGAAAGCTTTGGCCTCTAACTGTTCTGTTGGCTTTTCTATTGAAATATTTTATTCTTGCAGATATTTAGAAGTATATTTTAACAGAGCACATAGAGCTTTTGCATTATAAATGGCCTTCCTTTGGTTACGGACTTTAAAAATACGTTTGTCTTCAGGTATTTTACTATGTACAGTTGTCAAACATCCATCACTTGGTCTTTATTGCAATTGCTCCCATTTCCTGATCTTTAATAAGGTCTCTCTTTAGCTTGAGAAATGGCCTCTTAAGGACCAAGATGCAATGCTATTTAAAAGTGTCTGCTTCAGAGTGTATGTATGTGAGAGCAGACACCAACCTACCCTTAAAGCATAAAAGATCATGTAAAAACTGCACTTTTAATAAGGTAAACTCCATTTAATAATAAAATTCTGTAGTTTGAGAAGACTTGAATCGGTGATGTGAATTACAGAGATGCACATAAACCTCAGAGTTGCATAGTTTGTGATACAAGGGGAATGTGACTGTGAAGACTGTGACTAGGAACTTCCACAAAGCGGCCCTTTTTTGTGTGCTCAGTGCTACTGTTGTTAGGAAGGAGCTAGGGGAAACGCCTCAAAGGAAAAAGGCTCTCCGATTTGGCAGCCTGTCAAAGGAATTGCATTGAGCATCTGTAGTATCTATTTAATATTTGTTCAAATTTAATTTAATATTTGTACAAAATATGTACAAATTTAATATTTGTACATATTTTTCAAAATAGTTGTTTGTCTGTGAATGCCAGGAGTAAAGGCAAAGGATTACCTATATCTGTTGTTAGTGAGTAATCAAACCTTCTGTTTCAGGTTTTATCGCTTACACACAAAACACCATTTAGTACTTTGTGCATATATTTTTTTTTCCTGGCTTCTGAGTTGTAATTAAAAGAACTAGTACTGATGTAAACATTTTATCAACAAAAGCTCGGATTTAACTTAGATCTCTTTCAAGATAAGATGTTTATATATAGGATTATAGGAATGTTTCTCTAATGTGTAAATTTAATCAAATATTCTGCATACAGAATAACTGTCACCTGAGTATTTCTGTGTTGCAAAATTTTAAACTGAAGCAGCGGAAGATCTGGATAAATTTGAGGAAAAACTTCTTGACTGGGCATCAGAACAGGTTGCCTGGAGAGGTTGTGGAGCCTCCTTCTCTGGAGTTACTCAGACTGTCTGGACACAGTCCTGGGCAAGGTGCTCCAGGTGACCCTGCTTATGCAGGGCTTGGACTAGATCATCTCCAGAGAGAAAGAGAGAGATCCCTTCTGACCCCAACCATCCTGTGATTCTGTGAAACAGGAGACAATTAGGACCTTTTTTGATCAGTAAATAGAAAACAAATATCCCTGAAATATGTATTGAATATATTTATCTTTGTTCCTTTAGCAATTATCATTTGTCCTGCAAGCAGTCTAAAATGTAAGATTTTAAGACAATCAAATTGAAGATTTTTTTTTTTTTATATGCTCAATTACATTTCTAAAACAGCTTCAAGAGCCTCCCATTATTAACAGCACTTTTGAAATCAGGCTCATGTTAACATGCATACAAAGTGCACGCTTGACAGGTACAGCTTCTGTTTTATTGCTGTAAAGCACGAGTAACGGTGCTATGGTCTCCTTTTCTCCCAGGAGGGAAAGGAGTGCTCCTATGATGGGGGTACGTACATGTATATGCACAATAATGCATATACCTATACAATATGTGATAACGCTCCATCCCTTGGTTGGCTATGTGGACTGCTATTTATCAGAAAAGCTGACATTGATACCCTCCACATTGCTGTGCTTGTGTCTGCATGCATGAAAATAACTGCAACCTTTGAAGAGGGCAAGAGCAGCTCATGGCCTGTGGCTCGGGCAGCCTCAGCCCCCAGAAATGACCGTCCTTGGTACCCGGGGGCTCTGCCTGAGCCCCATGCCCATAACTCGCTGCACTGGCGCTTCAGCGGCTCCCTGCGCCCGCCAATTTCATCCCTGCCTTCAGCGGTAGCTACTGACTGACATCAGACTGAGAGACTACGTGAGTACTGGTTATTGATCACTGCACAGCTGAAACATCTGTTCAGGTATCTTTTTCTGTAATTCCTAATATATTTAAGCCCTAAATGCTGCCTTAAATCCTCCAAGATTTAAGGAACATTTTTTTTTTTTTTTAACTCTGATAAAGATCAGATGCTGTTATCTATTTATAAATTTTTTTTTATCAATTATAAGAACAAATAGCTGTATATAAATTGACATCAGTAAAGGCACTATGGCTTTGAAGTGGTGTCATGATAAAGGAATGTTAATTGGCAATTTTAAAAATAATTAAGCAACAGAATGGCTTATACGCCTTTGTAGTTGTTGAAATAATGCATAAAAATAGTAAAAATGTCCAGCAGAGGGGGCTGTTGCTTTAAAGAAAAACAAAACAGTTACTGAAATCCTTCATTAATCACTAAGCATGCTGACTTACTATGAGGCGTGCAGAGGAACCACATAGTTTATTCCACTGGCCAACGTACAGACCGTAGTGTTCCTTAAAGTGTAAAGAGTTGCACCAAAAAGGCATTCTATATATTGTTAAATATTTTATATACTGGTTATTAAACAAAAACAAACCAACCAACCTCTGTTTCTTATGTTATGGGCCTAGGAGAAAGAGCAGAATTTCAAAGGGTACCATTCTGAGCAGCACGGCGGGGATGGGTACTCCTGCTCCAAGGCAGGAATGTCTCGATGTCATTATAGAAATAAGATGCACTGTTGATGTAACGTAGAAACCTGTTTTACTTCATTGCAAACAAATGGACAATATATATTGTACAATATATAATAAAAATACAGCTGCTACAAGTGCCACTAATTAACAAAAACCCTAATTTTAAGACTTAAAAATGCTTGTTTTTGTAATATATACATTGCAGTAATAAGCCACAATAAATACATCAAATTCCATCTCATTCATAATAAATACTGAAAATATAAATACAGAATAATACAGTTAATTTGAATAAATTATTACAACATAAGGTCTAGGTTATGTTCTGTTGAATATTATTGTAGCTTATATTACCCTTTGGCATCTTTGATGTTACAACTTAGTTAAAAAAAAAAAAAAAAGTGTAATTCAGGAAGCTGTAGAATCACTTTCATATACATATTTTAAGATGAGCTTTCTTTCCCTTCCCTTCTTAAAACAGTTTTGAAGTAGCAGTCCAATTAAAATGCTGCTTTTCTGTTGAGACTGTGACTATTTTAGCCTGTAAAATTATCTGTAATGGACAATGTTAATTAATTTTCTCAAAAACTGATTAAGTTAGAAGTAATTTACAAATTTTAAACATATGGCTGCAGTTATACCACAATTTCACTAGTTCCCATTTGAACGGACTTTTATGCCTGAAAGACCACCAACTTAAATGTTTCGTAATCCATGCTGCAGTGTATTATTTACTACTTCCCAACAAAAATTTCAAAAGCAGTTTTATATTCCTATGGGAATGTATATCTGTGTATAAAGAAAAACAAATCTTTTGAAAGACATCTGGAATAGACCATGTAAATTGGACAGAGTTCATATTAAAACAATGAAATCACTTAATGCAGAACTGTAACTAAATGTTGACTTTTTTTTCTTTACAAAACTGCAATCTATTGCTTGTAAATAGAATCAAAATAATAAAATGCTTTGATTTATACTAGCAGGTATTAACCAGCACCTCTGTATTGAGATGTATTTTTCAAAGGGTTATTACAGCAGAATGCAGTGTTACTTAAAGATCAACTTTACCATGACAAGCCGAGGCTGTTAGTTAAAATCTGTAGATTACAGATCTGTTCCTGTTTTTGCACTGTTAAATGGCTAGTGTTTATTTTGCATCAACCATCTTTTAAAGATGTTTCACGAACTTTACTTTGGACATATTTCCATGGAAGTGTCTACCATCAGTCAATTAAAAGAAGGGCCCGGTAGTTAAGCATTTTTACCTGGGCATTGTCCTGTGAGAACTGAAGCAGTGGTATTTTGTGTGTGATGGTTTGCAAAAGCCAATACTTTTTCTCTGATCTTGTTTTAAGTGACCCAGCGGCTGCCATGCACCACAGCACAAGCCTTTGAAGACGCTCAACATCTGTGCTCAGGCTGCGGATCAGAACCTCACAGCTGGGTGGCTGCTTTCACAGTAATGCCCCAGCACCCCAGCAAGGTTGACTCTCAAGCAAAACTGCATGCCTAGAAAAAGGATTACGCTGGAGAAACCTAGAGAAGTCAACTGTCCTAAGATACTGACTTGCATTTGAAATGCCCAAGTGAACCTGCTAGTGAGGAGGACATAC